TCTCTGACGGGGTAAATGGCATCAATCTTTCTATTGTGGTGTCTGAGGCTAATTTGGTTAAAAATCCTAAAGAATGGTGGGTTGGCACTAGAGTAACTCGACATATTTGTGTGGATGAAAAGATGTTCACTACTTATAATGAGGCTGCAAATGGTGAACAACTATTCATGAGAAATTCATCTACTTCTGCTATGGTTGGACAAGGGAAAGTTATCTTGAAGATGACATCGGGGAAGAAACTTACCCTCAACAACGTGTTGCATGTACCAGACTTCCGAAAGAATTTAGTTTCTGGTTATTTGTTAAGTAAAAATGGTTTTGGGCTTGTATTTGAGTCTGATAAGTTTGTATTAACAAAGAGTGGTATGCATATGGGTAAGAGATACATGAGCGATGGTCTTTTCAAGTTGAATGTAATGACTGTTTTACCAAAATCTGTTATTAATAAGAATAACATATCTGTTGCTTATATTCTTGAGTCAAATTTATGGCATGGTAGATTAGGACATATGAATTTTAATGCTTTGTGTAGACTAATTGGTTTGGATTGTATAGAAAAGTTTGAAATTGATCCTCATCACAAATATGAGATATGTGTAGAAGAAAAACTAAGGCTTCATTTAAATCGGTTGAAATAAAAACCAAACCTCTAGAATAATTCATACTGATGTGTGTGTTTTTAAATTTGTTCAAACGAAAGGAGGCAAAAAGTATTTCATAACATTTATCAATGATTTCACAATATATTATTATGTATATTTATTTAGAAGTAAAGATGAAGCCTTGAAAATGTTTAAACTCTATAAAACTAAAGTTGAAAATCAATTTGGTAAAATCATTAAAATGGTTAGAAGTGATAGAGGTGGTGAACATGATGCACGTTTAAATGAATTTTGTGCACAACTTGGCATTATTTACCAAACTACAACACCTTATTCCCCACAACAAAATGGAATTGTTGAAAGGAAAAATAGAACCCTTAAAGAAATGATGAATGTCATGTTACTAAGTTCAGGCTTAAAACAAAACTTGTGGGGGGAGGGGGGAAGCAATTTTGTCTACTAATTATGTCCTCAATAGGATACCTCACAAAAAAAACTAACAACACTTCTTATAAATTGTGAAAAGGTCGACCACCTTCCTACAAATACGTAAAAGTGTAGGGGTGTTTGGAAAAGGTAGAAGTTCTTGTTTCAAAAAAAGACCAAGATAGGACCAAAAATAGTGGATTGTGTGTTTATAGGTTATGCGCATAATAAGAGTGCATATCAGTTTCTGACTTATAAATCAAAAATACCTGATATACATGTGAACACTATTATAAAGTCAAGGAATGCTATCTTTGAATATGTTTTTCCTTACAAAAAAGGATAGGAATTAAGAACTTATGATTCTATACAAAGTCAAGAGACTAATGACAACCAAGTGCAAGACACTAGTTATGGTCTCGAGCAACAAGATTTAACTAATGATGAACCAAGACCCAGTAAGAGAGCGAGAATACCAAAATCCTTTGGTCCAGATTTTTTGACATACCTGTTAGAAAATGAGTCTCAGAGCTTTAAGGAAGCATTGTCTTGAAGCACTTTTTTGGAAAGAGGATGTTAATAGTGAAAGTGAATCCATTATGCAAAATCATACTTGGGAATTAGTGGATCTTCCGCCCAGTTCTAAACCTCTTGGGTATAAATGGATATTTAAGAGAAAAAAGAAAGCAGATGGTTAAATAGACAAGTATAAAGCAAGACTTGTGGTAAAATGTTACAGACAAAAGGAAGGTCTGGACTATTTTGACACATGAATCCCTATGACAAGAATAACATCCATCCGCATGTTTATTACTATAGCAGCATTATATAATTAAGAGATACATCAAATGGATGTTAAGACAATTTTCTTAAATGGTAATCTAAATGAAGAGATCTATATGGAGCACCCCAAAGGGGTCGTAGTGTCAGGACAAGAAAAGAAAGTTTGTCGGCTTATAAAATCTCTTTATGGGTTAAAACAAGCTCCTAAGCAATAGTATGAAAAATTTGATTACGCTATGCTTACTAATGGGTCTAAGATAAACGAATGTGACAAGTGCGTCTATGTTAAAAATATTGACAAATGTTATGTCATCATTTGTCTTTATGTGGATGACATGTTTCTCATTGGAAGCAGTCAAAATATGATCAAATCAGCCAAGCAAGTGTTGACAAAAGATTTTATATAAAAGATATGGGGGTCGCAGATATTATATTAGGAATGAAAATTATTAAAATATCTGATGGATATGTATTATCTCAATCTCATTATGTTGAGAAAATTCTTGGCAAATATATCAAGGATGATGTAAATGTAGTAAGAACACTCTTAGACATCAATCTTTATTTATCAAAAAATAAAGGTGATGCGGTCCCTTAATTAATATACTCCCAAATCATTGGAAGCCTAATGTACCTAATGAATTGCATGCGTCCTGATATAGCTTATGCTATCAGTAAATTAAGTAGGTACACTAGTAACCCTGGAGAAGACCATTGGAAAGCGATCATTCGGGTTCTTAGATATCTAAGATTTACCCGTGATCATGGCTTAAACTTTACTCGATATCCAGCAGTACTCGAAGGCTATTGTGATGCAAACTGGATATTGGATGCTAAAGATTCAAAATCTACTAGTGGGTATGTCTTTACTTTAGGGGGTGCAGCTATTTCTTGGAAATCCACAAAACAAACATGCATTGCACGATCCACAATGGAATTTGAGTTTATTGCTTTAGACAAAGTAGTAGTAGAAGCATAATGGCTTCGCCACTTCTTAGAAGACATTCTAATGTAGCCAAGACCTGTGCCAGCTGTTTGTATTCATTGTGATAGTCAATCTGCAATAAGCAGGACACAGAGTCATATGTATAATGGTAAATCACGACATATTCATTGTCAACATAATATCGTAAGGCAATTGCTCTCAAGTGGAATAATCTCAATAGATTATATAAAGTCTAAAGAGAATATTGCGGATCCGTTAATGAAAGGTTTGGCAAAAGAGCAAGTGTATAGTTCATCAAAGGGGATGGGATTAAAGCCTATTACATAAGAGTTATCCTAATGGTAACCCTACTTAAATGAATGGAGATCCCAAGAACTAAGTTCAAAGGGACAACTAAGTTATGTGCGGCTCGCCAAAAATCACCAAAGGATTAAAATTCCCTATCCATTCCTATGGTGAGAGTGATATCTGCAGCATGTCTTGTATGCAGGGGTTTAAGGATAAGCGTTGCTTTTAATGATTACTTATGTCTTGATTTAGGCATAAAAATTAAGACAAATATAAGAGATGCTCACAATAAGAATCACCTATACAAGTGTCGAACTAGGGCCGGTTCTATGAGAATGAAGAGGCTAAATTGTCTAGAAACACTCATGAACAACTAGGAGCGTTCAAGGCCAAAATGAACACAACTGTGAGAACCACGATGTGTTAGAGGATATTCTATGTGAAATCTATTTTCTTGGCTTACACAAACGGCTGAACAATTCAAGGTATCATGTCCATCGGTTAGCTAGTAAGTTCGATAGGTTATTACTAGAGAGGGTTCAAAGCAAAAAGTTATCCAGCCTGATGCAGGATGTTTTCGTTGTATATTCTCTTAACAATTTTGCATGTTTTTGCATTTCCATTCTCATCAAATTCTATTCATGTAGGGGATTGTTAGAAATGGTTAAGAAAATTCTGCACAAAACTAGAATTTTTAGTCAACTTTGGGCTGCAATATAAATAGGACCCAAGTACTGATTATGGAGGGTATTGATGGTAACGCGTTATATGTCGTGTTGTGGTTCACGTAGTATATTTGGTTATTCAAAACCATTATCAGGTAAATGGGAAATTGATACCAAAGTAAGCTCCATGAAAATGGTGTTTTGGTGGGTTTCCCAAATTGAAGGAAGGAAAGCTTGTCCCACATTGATTAGCTAGGCTAACATTGTATGGGTTTATAAGCCTTGAGATTGGACCTTGGGGTAGGCCCCAAGGGGCACTCAAGTTTTGAAGAGGGGGAGTTTATGGGCAAAGTGGGCTAAACCCATTGGACCCAAAATAAACACACACATCGCTGCCCGGCTGGGCTGGGCTTGGGCACGGGTGCGTGGTGTGGGGTTGGGCTTGTCTGGCCCAATACTAACATTTTTGGGCCAAAAACATTTGAAATTTATTATTATTATTTTATTTTTTGGAAAATAAATTCTGATCGTTTGAATTCCAATTTCGGTTTTGAAAATTCAAATTCTGGCGGTTAGGCCTTTGCATCTCTTCAGTCCTTTCTGTACAGGTTCCATACCTGTAACTCCAACCCAAATAAAAGTTCCTGCATATTTCTGCATTTCTTTTCCTTAAGAGACAATATATACATAGAGTGTGTTCAATGTGCAAACAGTTTGTAGTGTTGCTATTATTAGTTGTAGATCATTTCGTCATGGGAGGTAGATGTCCATAATCTGTGAGCACCCTAGAGAGGACAAATCTTTCTTAAGGAGATAGTGTAAAATGCTGGACTTGATAATTCCTAGATAATAGTATCTATAAATATTTTCTTGTTCCTAATTTGTTTCCTTTCTCCTACAATATTTCTAATTTCTGTTTTTGTTTATGTGATTAAACAGATTCTGGAAAATCTTTCTTTCCATTTATTTGTTTATATGTTATATTTTTTTTTGTTGAGTACACAAACAAAAAATTTAGTTTTAATTTTTAACACAATGAAGATTGTGTAACAGTTTCCATATATGTAAGCATTTAGAGAGCTTCTAAATACACTCGGTTAATTTCTCTGATCTAATTCTGGGACATTTTACTATAGTATGGACATGTAGAAATATATATATACACCCCACATTGTACTGCTGACTATGGTGGGGTGTCTACAAATTCAATGCAAAAAGCAGTCAACGATGTTTCCAGATGTCCACTAAATTCAAGCAATCCCATGATTTTCATGTTGGGACAAATCAAAATCACAAATAGTAGAAGTTTATGTTATAAGAGTATTTCACAATTAAAAAGTTGTCATAATCCAACACTAATTATATGGTGTTTTATCAACAATATAATATCTAATACGAGAATTTTATTTTATTTTATTTTTTTTGGAACTTTGAATTCCAATATCATACAATACAAGTGACGCTTGCATGCCAAAAATCTCCAATGGCCATCATGTCAGGCAAAAGTGGGAACTCTACGAATCACCAGGTTTTCTTAGCTTCTCATATGTTTTCCTTGAGACCTACACAAAATATGAATAATTTTTCTTTATAAAATGATAGTCATAAGAAAGCATTGTTTAAACTTTGCAATCAGCCAAGAATTTCAAGTATGACAAGAGAAGAAGAAATTAAAATTACAGAAAAACTTGACCGAGTGTAATGGGGCATGTTAACAATAGCTTGTATTCCAAGTTAAAAACTTTCATGTGATGAAATTGTGGCACTTGGCTTCAAATTGAAAAAAAGGTGTAGTTTCACCCACATTTAGTAAATGATGATGATTTCAGCACATGTTATCAAAAAAATGCAAATCACTCTTAAAATATTTATAATATTTTTTTTTCCTGTGTACGTAAACAAATGTGCACGAAATTGAATGAGAAGTATATTACTCGAGAGCAATGAAGCAGTAATTGTATTGAAAATTTAGACATACTTGATGTGAGGATGGGGAGGTGCAAATGGATGGGGAATTTGGTGTAGATTTAGTAGGGGAAGCAGAGAGAGTTGGTCGTATAAATGGAGACTGAGGAAAGGATGAAATTGGGGACCGTAGTATCAGAGTGTGATGATAAGAAGAAACTGGTGTCTGATGACCTGAAGATAGTGGAGTTGCCATTGGTGTTCGCCATGCTCTATGAGAAGGTGCTCCTGGAGATCTTGATTGTGACTTCCTTGAAGGAAGCATGTTTATTTTAATTCTGACACAAAACATAGTAATTTGGTGTATATCATTAGACAATAAGTTAGTAACTAACGAAACAGAAATATATTACACTTGAAACTTTTTCTTTGGTTGTGTTTTCTTGTTTTGTTTTTTTGCAAAACACACAAAACTTGTTTTTCTGAAAACAGGTCCCTTCTGGAAACTGTTTTTGCACAAATATAAAAATGATGAAAATGATAGGTAATCTCCAATGGCCATCATGTCAGAAAAAATTGGGAACTCTACAAATCACCGGGTTTTCTCAGCTTCTAATATGTTTTCCTCGAGTCCTGCACAAAATATGAGTACTTTTTCTTTATAAAAAGACAGTCAATAAGAAAAGATTGTTTAAACTCTGCAATCAGCCAAGAATTTCAATTATGACAGAGAAGGAGAAAAGAAAATTACAGTAACTAAAAGACTTGACCAAGTGTAAATGGGGGCATGTTAACAATAGCTCATATTCCAAGTGAAAAACTTTCATGTGATGAAATTGTGGCACTTGGCTTCAAATTGATGGAAAAAAAAAAAAAAAGGGTGTAGTTTCACCCAAATTTATGATGGTGATTTCAGCAGAATTTATCAAAAAATGCAAATTACTCTCAAAACATTTACAATTTTTTTCCGTGTACGTAAAGAAATGTGCACAAAATTGAATGAGAAGCATATTACTTGAGAGAAATGAAGCAGTAATTGTATTGAAAATTATACATACCTGATATGAGGATGGAGAGGTGCGAATGGATGGAGAATTTGGTGTAGATTTAGCAGGGGAAGCGGAGAGAGTTGGTCGTATAAATGGAGACTGAACAAAGGGTGAAATTGGGGACCGTAGTATTGGAGTGTGATGATAAGAAGAAACTGGTGTCTGATGACCTGAAGATAGTGGAGTTGCCATCGGCGTTCGCCATGCTCTATGAGAAGGTGCTCCTGGAGATCTTGATTGTGACTTCCTTGAAGGAAGCATGTTTATTTTAATTCTGACACAAAACATAGTAAATTGGTGTATATCATTAGACAATAAGTTAGTAACTAACGAAACAGAAATATATTACACTTGAAACTTTTTCTTTGGTTGTGTTTTCTTGTTTTGTTTTTTGCAAAACACACAAAACTTATTTTTTTGAAAATAGGTCCTTTTTGGAAATTGTTTTTGCACAAATATAAAAATGATGAAAATGATAGGTATTTTTTAAACATCTCATTTTTTTTCCCGGTTTCCATAGACACAAAAACATAACCAAATGATCAATTAACAGACGCAGAATCGTAACTCACTTATTGTGAACATCAACATATTCATCAGTTTCATCCAGTATTTCTTCCTTTAGAACAAAACACAAATGTTAGTTTATCAACAGAAAAAACACATTAAGTCTATGTACCCAGAAAAAGAACTCAGAAAAAACAGTGCCATGTCTAGATATGGTGAGGTTTAAATTAAAAAAGAATTTGAACCACAAACCATTACTGTTTTTTTTCTTTTTCTTTTTTGTGAATAAAATTTTAGGTATTTTATCAGGATACCTAGAAGGCTTGCGGAAAGAAAAGCATATATGAAAGGACTGATCTAATATTTACATATATGAACTTTCTTATCACCTATATGGAAGAAAAGCATTCATATTGAAGCTAGTTTTATCAACTGACAGAATTAAGTTCTATATGTTACATCTAAAGCAGCAATATTAATTAACTATAATGGAACACAAAATAACATTTGCATGAAGTACATCATAGTATTTATTAATACTAGTTAATTAGTTATCTATATTACTAACCTGTAAGAGTTCCTCTAAAACATCTTCCATAGTAATGATACCAATGACTTCTTCGTCTTGATCTGGAATTGATTCCAAAACTTCCTTTGTTTTATTTGCATCTGTAAGCTTTTCTAAATGATCTATATATTCAACTTGTAAATAATACAAAGATTACAACCAATATTTATAGGAATCCTAACCCTAATCTAGAATAAGAAATGCAAACCTAATTCCATATTTACATAGCATTCCATAATTACATAGAAACCTAATTCCATATTTACATAATAGTCGTAAGTTACACAATATATTCTCACACCCCCACTCAAACTAAATGTGTTTTAGCAGAAAACACTAAGAATTTGGTAAGAAGAAACTGAAACTGAGTGGTAGTGTGAGTCTTGGTGAAGAAGTCCGCAAGTTGCAAAGTCAAGGAGACGAAATGATGCAAGAAAGAGCCAGACTGCAGATGCTGTCAGACAAAGTAACAATCAATCTCAATGTGTTTCGTCTATTCATGGAAGACGGTATTGTGGGCAATCTGAATAGCACTGCGGTTGTGACAATAGAGAGAGGTCGGAGAAGATTGAGAGACACCCAAATCAGAGAGAAGGCAACGAAGCCAAACAACCTCAGCAGTAGCATGAGCCATAGCACGGTACTCAGCTTCGGCAGTAGAGCGAGCAACAACAGTTTGTTTCTTGCTTTTCCAAGAAATCAAGGAATCGCCAAGAAACAAACAAAAACCAGAGGTGGACTTGTAATCATTAACATCACCAGCCCAATCAGCATCAGCATAAGCATAGGCCACCAAGTCTAAAGAGAAAGTAGAGGACAATAGTAAACCTTGAAAGATGATACCCCGGAGATAGCAAAGAATGCGAACCAAAGCAACCCAATGGGTAGAGCGAGGAGCAGAAATGAACTGACTAATCACATGAACAACATAAGCAAGATCAGAGCGAGTGACAATCAAATAAACTAAACAGCCCACAAGCTTGTGATAGATCGCGGGATCATGTAGAGGGACACCATTAGTAGAGTTGAGCTTCACATTAAGCTCAATAGGTGTATCAGAAATCTTAGTATCAGTAAGACTGGCATGGTGAATAACCTCATTAGCATACTTGGCCTGAGACAAAAAGTAGCCCTTTGGAGAAGAGGGAACCTCAATACAAGGAAAATACCACAATAGACCCAGATCCTTCATTTCGAAGGTGCGGAAGAGATGTTGCTTGACCTTAGAGATAGTAGAAGAGTCAGAGCCAGTGATGATCATATCATCCACATAGAGTAGGAGAGCAATAAAACCAACCAAGGTATGTCTCAGAAATAAAGTAGAGTCGGAAGCAGAAGGATGAAACCCAAGCTCGGTAATAGCAGTCTGAAAGCAATCATACCAAGCACGAGGAGACTGCTTCAAACCATACAGAGCACGTTGAAGGCGACAAACCTATCCAGAGGAATGGAGAAGGCCAGGGGGAGGACGCATGTAAACCTCCTTAGTGAGATGGCCATTAAGAAAAACATTCTTAGCATCCATCTGATAAAGAGGCCAAGAATGAACAATAGCGACAGAAATCAAAGTACGGACAGTAGACATCTTGGCAATAGGAGCAAAGGTCTCCTCATAATCAATACCATACTCTTGTGGGAAACCTTTGGCAACCAGATGAGCTTTGTAGTGCTCAAGAGAACTGTCAGAATGAATCTTGACTTTGTAGACCCATTTGCAACTAACCAGTTTCTTACCAGCAGGCAAAGGAACTAACTCCCAAGTACTAGTTTTCTGTAAAGTAGACAACTCATCCTTCATAGCTTGAACCCAATGAGGATCCTGACAGGCCTCCTTGTAAGACTAAGGTCCTAAAAAAGAGTGAATAATTGACAAAAAGGTATGATAGGAAACAGAAAAACATGTATTAGACCAACCCAACCTGTTTGGAGGATGACGTGCTCGAGTAAGATATCGGTGTGCAGTAGGATCAGAGTTGTTAGAAGTAGGAGAATCAGCAACAGGGGTAGAGACAACCGGTGAAGGAAGAGCCTTGCAACGAGAATAAACTAACAACGGAAGAGGAGGAGAAACTGAAGGAGAAGCAGCCAGAGGTGAAGCAGGAGGAGAAGATGGAACAAGCTTAGAGGGAACTATGGAGATGTACTCATCAGACGGGACCTCAGAAGGAAATGGATCAATATGAACCAAATCCTCTTTGGAAACTGGGGCGGTGAGAGGAGGAAGTTGAAAGTAAGGCAGACATTCGAGAAAGGCAACATGGTGGGAGACATAATGATGGGAAACAAGGTCATAACAACGATAACCTTTCTGAGTGAGACTATAACCCAAAAAGACACATAAGACAGACCGGGCACTAAGTTTAGTCCTATCTTTACAAGATAAAAGGACAAAGCAAGCAGACCCAAACACACGAAGGAGAGAGTAATTGGGAAGTTGAGAAACACAGACCCTCATAAGAAGACCGACCAGAAAGAAGGGGGGTAGGCATATGGTTGAGAAGAAAAGCAGCAGTAAGAACTGCCTCACCCCAAAACAAAGCCGGAACAGAGGTAGAGAGAAGGAGAGATCTACCTATCTCAAGGAGATAACGGTGTTTACACTTCGTTCGACCATTTTGGGCAGGTGTATCAGTATAAGAAGTTTGGTGAATAGTACCCAATTTGGCCAAATATTTATAGAATTCAATTTTAAAGTATTTCCTGCCCAAGTTAGACCGTAACAATTTTGATAGTAGACCCAATCTGTGTAGTTACCATATATTGAAAAGTACGTTATATCTGGTAGAAGTCAGACTTATGTGTCATAAGATAAACCCAAGTGTACCGAGTGCAGTCATCAACAAATAACACATAATAGGCAGAACCCCCTTTGGTGAGAACAGGAGAGGGGCCCCAAACATCAGTATGAACTAAAGAAAATGGTGTATCAGATATAGAAGTACTTTTATGAAAAGGTAAGACTGTCATTTTGGCAAGTTTACAACCCCGACATTCAGTAAGTTCACTAGGAGAAACTTTACCCAATATACCAGGCTGAGCTAAAGACCGTGAGCAATCAGCAGACAAATGCCCTAATCTAGAATGCCACAAGTAGAAAGGAATAGATAGAGAATCTAACTTAAAAGAGAAAATGGCAGTCAGAGAGGTTGCTATACGCAGATTCAAGCTCTCCAGCACATAGAGGTCTCCAACTCTACGACCAGTCCCAATCTGTAGCTTAGACATCCGATCCTACTCAAAACAGATAGAAGAAGAAAAGATAACATCAAAATTAGAGGCATCAAGATGACTGATAGATAATAAACTATAAGATAACTGAGGAACATAAAGGACAGATGGAATAGAGACAACAGACATAGCAGACGGTAAGACTGACCCAACAGATACAACAGACATACTAGACCCATTAGCATCATTGACAGTAATAGGAAAGAGGGAAGGAGTACAATTTTGAAGTAAGGAGAGATGGTGAGTCATATGATGAGAGGCACTAGAGTAAAAAATCCAAACAGACGAAGAGATACCTGAAGAAGACCCAAGCAAACCTGAATGAAGAGAGAAAACAATGGAGGCAGACAGGGATGACTGAAATGTAGACAGTATATATTGAAGCTGACTAATCTGAGCACTCAAGGAAGCCAAATTAGGATCTAGAGTCGAAGCAAATGTAATAAAACTGGCAGGAGGTCGAAAAGTGCTTGGAGGAGGAGCTCGAAACTGGTTCTAAGACTGCTGAGTAGATGAGGCAGGCAAACGTCCCTTTTTGGGACAATGATACTTCCAATGGCCTCTCTGATGACAGAAGGCACTGTAGCTCGACCTTTCGTGCTCCCTTTCGGAAGACGAATAAGCCCTACAATATTGGATTCCCACGATTCTGAATCTAATCTCACAAGTGCAATGTGAAATAGATAATCACCAAAGAGTCCCAATTTGGTAAATCTTTTGGAAAATCGATTTTGAATAAAAAATGCCAAAAATGGACTGCTTTGCAGATTCAGAGTCGCCACCTAAATATTTTTTGAGGAAATTTAGGAAACCCATGACTCGTGCCAAAGGCCACGTGTCTGTCATCACTAATATTGTCTTGACTCGGGAACTTAGGTAGGAGAGGGGAAGGTCATGAATTGAGCACCCCCACTCGCTCGATCAAAGATCGGCCTCTACTAATCATGATATGAATCTTATTTGTATTATATGCTCTTGTTCTGATTATTAGGCTAGCATTACTATGTGATGCGCATACACATAAGTATAAACTAATTTGCAAGAATTGAAACACTTGATTCATGTTTGATTTGAAAAATTGTATCGAATATGTACCACTTGAAAAAGTGATCGCCTATAAACATTATTCAAATTATTCCAATTTAAGCAACTAGCCTTCATCCATAGGCATTCAAACAGTTTATCAAATAAGCGTTTAGCCTTATGGTAAGCATGCTAGACGTGGCAACAATCACACATGCAATTATGCTAAAGCTAATAATGCTTACCTAGTACTCCAAGCCAAAAAGATCATAAAGTTAGAAAGATGCATGATCCTATCTAGGCAATATGACTAATGCAACACATGTGATATGCAAATACTAGGCTCGGCTACCAATATGGCATATAAATCAATTAAATAACATGCGGTCTGAGCACGTATTCAAAGAAGTATTTAAACTAACAATGCAATTAGAACGATGAACTGAGCCTCGGTGCATGAAATACAAATGAAGGCAAACATGAAGAATGCTAAACAAAATATGATGCTTTAATCTAACCAACATAAGTAGGTAAATAAAAGGGAGAAAGACGTGGGGTTGGAAGACATACACATTATTACAACATTATGCCCTCACATAGGAGGATTCGAATGAACTAACTAGCTAACTAATTAAAGCTAAACTAATTAACTAACTATTACAAAATGAAATGAATAAATAGCTAAACTACTTAACTAATTATTACAAACCAAATTAATTAACTAATCTAACTAATTAAAATAATCACAACACGTAATGAATTAGCTATTCTAACTAATTAATTTACAAAGCCACTACTTCAAGCATAACACTAATATTGTTACAACACGGATACCAAGGATCGATGGAAGACTCATACATGAATGTGGTTT